TCCGCTTGTAGAACAGCCCTCCAAATGATATCGTTGCAGAACGCAATCGGGAAAAATTCCGGTACCTTTTACTCACCCATTAACAAGATTAACTGCACGTTTTATTCATATTGAAATCGGCACCTACGCGTTTATCCACTACTAGTATCTCGGTTTTTTTCTCTTATCCAGTGATGTTTTCTTTTGAATAATGAAAAGTCTTTTCAGAATTTGTGCTTAATTTTTTAGCTTGTTTTAAATTATACCTCACGCGTATACCCATCTGATGTTCATTGCCGTTCTATTCCTATTAAAATTATTATTATTATTTTCTCATTCTTATTCCTGTTAGTATTTTTATAATAAATGACATTTAGTTCATGTTATTGTTTGTATGGAAAGTGTACCAAGTCATGTATGTATTCCCTTTATGCTCCCCTTACACAATGCCCTGTTGGGTCAGTAAGGCATTTCGAATAAACAAATAAATAAATAAAAGAATTTTAAAGAATGTTTCCGCACAGATTATTTGTGAGCCGCTGAAGTAGAAGCGTTTCTTTTTTTTCTTCACCATCTTTCAGTGACAGGACTGCTTTGAAGTGCAATGTCCACATATGTGTACGCCACTGAAAATCCTAACCGATAATTTGTCTCAGATTTTTTGGTGATTACTTCTTTAATAGTGTTATCAATAAAAAATCACTACGCCAGATTTAATTTGCAGCTGACTCAGGAGCTACTGAGTCAGTTGCCCTGAAGTTCACGAGTCGCGTTGAAATTATTGCCTTATATGCAATTCGCCATTTGAAAACATTTTGTGTGTTCCGTTAAAAACGTTGGGCACTGATGATGTTATTTTCACTGTAATCATCAGTGAACATTTTATTTTAGTGCGTGTTTGTAACTTCAGTCATTTCATTGTCTTCAGCAGTTCATTTATTAAGCGCAATCAAGTGATTCCCTACTGTCGTAATTGATTATACTTACCTTTGCCAATACCTAAGTGTGATATTATTATTTCAGAGTGATACGTAACTCATGTTTAACATCGTTAGTGATAACTGATAGAAGGATGGCATCCTAGAATATTGTAATTTGGGTGCGAGAATCGGGGGTGAGTTGTGAATTTTTCAACTACATAATATTATCTTCTTGCTTTATTTCACTGAAAGTGTAATGAGAGTAATATTTACCGAGTTTAATGGGTTATAACCATGGTATGATGATCAGGGACGCCGTAGTGGAGGGCTTCAGAAATATGAACCACCTGGGGCTCTTTGAAATGCACCTACGTCTAAACACAGGTCTCAAGCACTAACATGTTGATCAAAGTTGTGGCCACCAAAGCCAGGGTTTGATTCCACGGCCTTCAATTCAGCAGTCAATACTAACGCGAAGGGTATACTGGTTGTAGGCTGTGGCCTCGATTTCAATGATGCATGTTGAGTACAGCAGCTTGGTGCCAATCAGGCTTCTCTGCTAGTGCACTGATGTTGTGTTCGTCATATTCCTAAAAATAGCAATATTTTTTATTGCAGCATGCATGCATTTTGAACAGCTCTGGGTAGTGTGTGCTGATGTTATTTATCGTATTTTAAATTTTTTCCAATGCCTAATGGTTGTCGCATGTATTCTGAGTTAGTGGCTAAGCTATTATTGTTCCTTCTTTTATACTCTGAAAGGCTGCATATATTTCTTATTAGCATGTCAATCTGAGCAATTAACTGTAATACACTTTGCATATCGTACGTTAGAGGGCTAATTTGGGCGTACAGAGCTTACTTATTTAGCCATAGTGTTTCGAATGCCTTGAAAATGGCCTTGCGATCAACAATTACTGTTGTATTAGTGTGTTTTTCAGAAATGAACGAAATTTCTATTACCTAGAAAGGTGCTGAAAATGAAAACTAATAAGATGTTAATGATGTCGTAAAGCTCTATGTGGCTAAGGTTGCTCGTTTAATCTTATCTTTCTTCAATCACCAACAGATGTAATTACCTGGTGAATTATTGTCTGTAAAATGTATTAAACTGTAGTTTAAATGAAAATGAATCAATAGTTTTGCAGAGTATCGTATGCATGTCCATGTGCATCTAAATTACAGCAACCGTAGTATACCACTCTGTTGAGATGGTGCAATGGGCCCAATTTCTGGTCCGCATAAAACGTGGCTATTTTTAGGACATATAGAGGACGGAGACTTTTAGGCGACATAAAAACGGCGGCCAAATTGTGCCAGCTAAGAGACACACAAGACGGTAACAGATGGAAAACATAGAGAACAGACACTTTGAGGCGATATTAAAGCAGTGGCCAAATCGCGACATTTGGGACGGTCAACATATAGGACGGTCACAGATAGGGAATATACAGGACGACGCCTTGAGGTGACAAAAAAGTGGCGGCCAAATCGCGACAGTTGGGAAACATACAGGTTGCGTCCTCATGTTGCCTCGGGGAATCATACAGCACACAAACAGGACGTTGCCATTTTCATAAGGGTAGACACCATCATCGCACTTAACATGGCACCCTGTGTGGCAACAATGGCGTTATTGGCTAGCGACCTATAATACTAACACATTCATCAGGAGCGATTGATTACTACGCTCTGCGTGGTGTTCAGTTGACACGTTGGTTGCATGCGAATGATTTCGGAAAACATCGCTGATAAATGTTAAAAGGTTTGAAATGCAGTTATTTACATCACAATATGTCGCACAGTGGCCAGAGTTTATCTCGAGGTAGGCCAAGTTCAGAAGAGTGACCACTGGTCTCTTACACGATGTGCTTGTTTGTTAAATTTCGCCATCACGTCATGAAGACATGAGTGTAAGTCCATGAAGAAATCATTGTTCAGCTATGCTTCGCTTCACAAATTTAGAGTACGAAGTCATCACGTCTGTACCGACGCGGAGTATTCAAGTTTTGATTGAAGATTGAAGTTGTACGCCAAAAGAAGCAGCACAAGTCTGTGCAATTGCGTACATGCTCTTTGCAGGAAAGTGACCCACCGCGACCGTCATATGTATGCATGCTATTTCACACAATGGAAGAAATATTGCTAAGTGAGCTAACCTTCCCGTTGCATCTTCTTCACCAAAGTTGTCTAAGGTCTGCAGAGTTACTGACGGAAGCCGCAGAAAGGATGGCCCATATATATTATGAGCAGACGAATAAATACGTCCCGTGCTCAGTAAACTATGTGCATTCTCTGATGTTATCTATCGGTGAACTCACATTGGCCTGACGGAATGGTGCTTCAATCCTAGATTATCTCAGCACAAATGCAAGGACCAGAAATATAAGGAATGCAACATGTATCTTTCTCTGCAGACACGCTCCTGTATAAATAATAGAAACAAGGAAGAGACTACAGGTGAGAACACAAAAAACTAACACTATGGCGACACATGTTCATAAGCGTGTAAGTACCTAGTCAATCGCTCTTTTCCACAAACAAAAGCCATTTCCGTGCACGCTCTAGCCATCCTTGTTCTAATTCAGTCGTATGAATGGTGTGTTTCTGAAAAAAATAAACCACCTTAAAGTCAACGCTCGTTTGTCCTTCGATGCTCATGCATTCTTTTTCGCTGGTTTTTCTGTGATTATTCACAACCAATTAGCCCCACTAAACGCCCTTGCACAGTAAAATGTAATGAAAAAAAATATATAAACCATGATGGAGAATCTAAGTATGCAAGAAAAAAATACCATGTATGAATAAAACACTGCGTTTCAATCTGCATGCAGTGCCCACATATCAAGGTGCAACAATTTACGTCAAGTGCTTGTTATTACGCCTTTTGCTAGCATGTGATATTACTGCCATTTTACTGCATCACTCTCATCAGAGCCAACATTACCTTTTACGGTCAGGTTCGTAGCGACATGAAATAGGTGTATAAAAAATGCGCATTCAAGTCGTTACAATTGAAATTCTTATTCCTCAGTTCAATTGTTGAGCATTATACCAATATCAATCCTAAACTCTTGAAATCAATACACTACCAATAGAAACACGTGTGCAGATACGCTCACGTTGTGCAATAGGGAGCATATTATTCATGGGTATTTTTAAATGTGAGTGCGTTTCTTAGCCGCGCTATGTCAGGCATCCGGCGTTGTCTGCGGCATCCATGGTGGTGTGCGCACGCTGGCAGGTGTTGTCTCTCTGCTCTCATTTCATTTAGCATGGCAACAGCTGCGGGCTCACATTCTTATCCTCGCCCCTAGCAATCGGAGCTTGTGGTGCGAGAGAGTGTAGCAGATAGTAGGTGCTGTTTTTGCCGCTCCTTTTTTCGCCGTTCGCTCTCTCTCCTTCCTGATCCCTACTATCCCTTCCGCTCGCTCCTCACTCTCGATAGTTCGCTGACTGGCCACCTCTCAAGGCGATGGCAGAAGTCGATGAAGGCGAATGTTGGGCGGCAACGGGGCAAGAACTATTTCAGGGCAAAAAATCAATTCGCATTTCCTCACAATTCTCTTCGGGAAGGTGGGGCATTTCTTTATTCCGACAAGATCACGTGCACACCCCTTCAAGTGACATATGCACTCATAACTCTGACTACCAGTGTGTGCTCGAGTCTAACGTGACTCATTCACAAAAAGGCAATGTGACAGATGCAGTGAACGAGGTGTCGAGTGATCGACAAAACTTTACGTCACTATCATTTAGGTATGAATGTTACTTGCAGTGGTTTGCTGGGTACAGGTTTCAAAATAATCCGCTTTTGACTGAAAAGTTGAGCAACCAAATTTTCAGCGTAAAAATAACGTGAGAATATTCTAGATTGGCAAACTGAAACATTTATCAAGTGCTTTATTACACGGTCACTACTCCATATCTATACTACTCCATATCTATAGCTGTCTTGTTACTACAGCCACTGATTTTAAAATTGTTAACATGCACCAACACAACCTGGCTTTCTGCACTTCAGAAAAAAATAATGTAAAACGGCCAAACACGCATTTGTTATAAGAGAAGGTAAAAAACAGAGCAGAAGATGAGAGGCTGTCCGGTAGCTTGACTTCGTTTGTTTGGTTAAATATTTTTGCCATTAACAATAACGTGCACCAAGCAGCCCGTATTTCAGTACTTCCACCGTTTGTAATCACATTCACGCTGATAATAGCAGCACAGAGGCCATGATCCATTGTGAGGGACGTCCGTGTAGGCATCAATTTTAACAGGCTTTGGTGACGGACATCTAAAACAGAAAAAAATCCGAAGTGTAAAAGAGTATCTAGAGAAATTATTTCATGGATCGCTTCTCTTTATATTAGCGCGATGAATTATGGCCGATCCTACGTATATTGAGTCTCCAAGCTGTGGTAAGTAGCATAAAAGAAGCTGAGTAGGGCAAACTGATTAACTTGAAGCAATGGAAGTGCTGAGAGGCGCACACACCAATCGTGTGAAGGAGTGGTTATGCATGTGAGACGATTCAACAAGGCACAAAAACAACAATACCGTTGCGCTTTATTGTTACCTTCAAGCAAGCCGTACACTGTCCGAAATCCTACTAGTGCAGATGTAGTTTGTTTCGTGAAAGACCCGCACTTCAGTGCGCTGATAGATTAGTCATTATCACAAGCGCTACTTTTGAAGAAGAGAAAGGTTAATGCGAGATCACTTGCGATCTAGCGGCAACCTTTCGCGTACCCGTTTAAGCAACTGAGGCATTGCTAGAATTCCTAGGGGCAACATACTTGTTTTGGTGGTTGTAGACTGTGATGCCATATACCGCCCTAGAGAGTAACCTGCGCTACATGTGACATTATGTGTGTGCGTGTGTGCTCCACCTCAGTTTCTCCCTCCCTCAACTCTTTTTTCGATCTCTCTCCATCTCTTCTCCCTTGGGCTGGGTGAACACCAATTATGGAAAACTAGTTAGAATCTGTCTTTTCTCTCACTCGTTTTTCTTCCTTTCCAATTTCCTAGTACGTGCAAATAAAGCAATGCACACAGATCCCACAGCGAACTGAAACGAGTGGCCACGTTGCTTATGAACGCGTTATTCCCAATGGCTTATCAAGACCTTTCTGTATCACTGCTTACGTCTGTCTAGGAATTTGAATTGGTGTAATTGTACACACTTGTAACACGAAACATTCAAATACTTCATAAGCGGCTTGAACAGCTTAAATTCCTGCAGTGAGTGCTTGTAATCTATGTTTTTAAGGCCATGTGAGAAATAATGTGGAAAGTACGCGTTTCGGGTTAGTGTAGCATTACTCTCATCGATGCCGACCAAGGAGGCTTCTATTTACCAGTACAATTATGTACTGTCAGGTTTACAAGAATGCAGGCAGAATGTTGTTGCTTGATAAATTAAGTAAAAGTTCTTTTTCATGATGCCACAATTGCGAACATAGTGCAAGAGCGATATATGCCTCGCGCGTACGAAAGACATCCAAATTTTTCAAGGAGAATCCTCAATAACGGCAATATATAAATAATACAGTGACTGCGACCTGTGCATATGTACGAGATTAACTCAGTACAGTTTAACTAGAGCGTCCCGTTACAGTCACTGATAAAAAAGAATGGAATCTGTGCAAGTATGCTGCCAGGGCCCATGGTATTCTGGAAGGTTATGCTGCTAGAAACGCGATGGGACCTGTTTTGTGATGGATATGTTATAAGCTGCGCATGGGGAGTATCAGTTGAATACGTGCACAATATTTTATATACCGTTATATTACAATGTCAAGCGCAAGAGGTGTATTTCAGCCGGAACAACACAGAGAGTTACACCGTGAGGAGCAACAATCTTCCTAAAAACCATCATAAAGAATTCAATGGCACTTGGTTTAAATTTTCAAGACGAATGGTGAGTAGCGTAACGTACTTGCGTTCAATGAATTTGGTCAAAGGAGGGATATTCACTGCACGCTCGGTAATGCTTCACAAAAACACTTTGGAAAAAACTGATGCACTTTTCATCTCACAAAGGCATATTTCACAAAGTATATTTTATTATTTAGTGATTGACGCACAGCAGTTTTTATAATAGTCGGTCAGAACTATTTATTTGGTAGTTATTACTACTATTAGCCAACAGCCAGAACAAAACACTCTTACCCTATCGGTGTCAAGGTTCCATTCCAACAATAGAAGCCTTGGCACAGTGGCGGTGGCGTGCCTTCGATTCTTCCGTGCTGTACTGTTATATTTTCATTGGTGCAGTTAACTGCGAAGGATAAAACGAATTTCCGAGTTGCCGAAAAACTGTACCACTGTTTACTGGATGCATACTGAATGACTCCTCTTACAGTCACAAATTAGAAAGTTTGTCAAGTAGTTATTTCTGTTGAAATCAGCTGCGACACGTGCGTGGTGAAACATTACGTTATCTAGTATATTCTGGGGCTATTTCACATGGCGATGCCTGGAAAGCTCTGACAATATATCACCGATTACTTCACTTTCCAGCCAAACATGAGTTCTTAGAATGTCATTTCATCTACGCATGTAACGACCCTGGTCATATTCATCATCGAGTTCGTAATCTTCACGCTATTTCACGATGAGTTCAGAACCAAAACCTCTCCTAATTACAACCGATGTACCTTACCTCGTGGGATCTATTAAGTGTTTACGACGACATTTTTCTTTGATGGAACACTACACATGACCTGCTGTATTTTCCGAGTCTCCTTCAATGGTTTTCGTTGCTATTCCATCCTCAAAACCATGATCCCCCAACTGTCTTTCGCAATGCGTGACCTATCATTTCCAGCGTTTTCCTAAATACTTCAGCTGCTATATCGGCTGCCCCTGTTCATTGTTCAATCCACAATGCAGTTTTCTTAAACATGTTATTGTTACACTCAAAATAATTCCTTCAAAACACTATACACCTTCTTCGTAATCCTAACTTTCTGCTTATGCACGTATTTCCCTATCAGTTAGTATTTGAAAATTGAAATATTTATTGAACTGGATTGAGTTTATTGAGCAACAAGGTTGCGAGTACACCACGCAAAAAAGCTGCATTGGGCAGCTAGAGGGGAGTCAGGATGAAAATAGTGTTTGAAATGTAAAGAAAGCTTCTGCTGCAGACGCAAAAGAATAAAACGTGAATACGAACTCGCACAATCAGAAGTCGTTATTCTGCCCTTCCATATTTATCGATGAGTCAGCTCAGTTGAGCTCTAGTACTTTATGTACTCCAGAAATTCATGTGTGCAACGCAGTGTTGAACCGAATGAAAACAGTTTTCGTGAACACTGGTATTCATTTATATATCATTTAACAAATGTGTTAGAAATCATGCCAGACAAAAAGACAAAAAAAGCAACAAAAACCCAGTTCACACTAGTTTCTAACGAATACACCAGAAACCTAATACTTCACAAGGACGCAGTGTATATACCAATCACTTGGTATTTTTTTGTTTCACACAGCCCATTTAAAGGCCTCACCTTATGTTACTGTTCAAAACGGGACAAAACAATATAAAGTTTCTTGTCAGTCGTTCTTCATCCTGGGTGACCGTTAAAACAGTGACAAATTTAAATGAGAACAATTCCTGTAGTCTTTCTTATGTGTAGTAGAATTTCAATTTAACGTTTTTTTGTTGACCTAATATATGTTATCATGCACGATCTATCCTATGCACTCCAACAAGAAACACACATTGCAACGGAGAAATCAATTGGGGTAGCTTGAAACTTTATCGAAAAAATTAGGTTTTCTTACCATAGGTTGGGGTAGGTCCGGGTATGCAATCTTTAAAGTCTATTGCAGACAGAACAAAGAATGATTGTAATAACCTCGTCCTTGAAGCAACCTTACCTAATCGCGCAAAGAATACCTATAAAATTGATACTACGTCATGCAATATAAAAATCACTAGACCTTGCTAGCAAAAAGAAACCATGCAAGCTATTTAGCGTGAAATACAAATCTTTCTAGTTACTGGCTTAGGCACCGGACTGAGCAATACAGAGTTGTATGATAATGAAGTCAACCTTAAAAGGCAATGGGTAGTTTTGTATCTACATTATTCATGCTAGAAAAGTATACTAAAAATGGCAGATCCCACGTACGTTGGCAATCGACGACATGCGAAGCATGAATGAGGAATGTTGATACGTCACTTTAAAATCAACACAACGTTACGAGGTGGAGCTAGATTATGCTGTACATGACGTCAAGTCATCATTATTATGTTTGGACGTGTCATTTACCTTCGTCATCTATTCACGTCACCCGATACCAAATTTTGTATATGTAGAACCAGTGGAACGGGCGCGAGCACACTATGAGTGTAACGTGTAGTATGCTTTACATGAAACTCATATCATGACTATTAGGTTTGGACGTGACAATTACTTTCTTCGTCTATTAACGTCCCGTGATACCGAATTCGGTATATTAGGAGGTGGCGAAACGGTCGCGAGTGCATCATGAGCGTGGTATGTTGTCATGTTCTTACATAATACGCGGGTCATGATTATTATGCCGGCACCAGTCATATACCTTCGTCATTCAATATCGTCACGTAGCACCTAATTCGGTATAAGTGAAGCTAGCGAAACGGCCGCGAGCGCATCATAAGTGGCCCAATATACTACGTCATAACATTGATGAGCGCATGCGAGGTACAGTGACGCTACGCTAGCAAAACACGAGAACTCTTTAGTATGCAGCCAAGCACGACCAGTTTGACCAGCGTCCGTTAGCGATACGCGAGAAAATTATGTAGTGCCACGCCAGGCGCGACCACCGCAACTAGCGTCCGTCGGCGCGGCCCGGCGGCAATTGGCACGAAATGCAACATGCAGTATTTCACACTGACCACGTTACCCACGATGATGATGTTTGATATTTTGTGGCGCAAGGGCTTATTCACGGCCAAAGAGCGCCAGTTCATCTTACTGAAAATTTGGATAATGATTGTGATATGCGGCTGTATAAGGGCCATAAAATTCCTCTCGGTAAGGTGGGTAAAAACATACAAGTAATAACCTCATGATCATGCCGTGAAAGGTGTGTGTGGTGTAAACAGATGACAAAAGTTGGTGATAATAAAAAACGATGGTGGACATGTATGGCATTAGCACAAGTGCCTCACTCGTTCATACCCTTGCGTCCAAGGGCCATGACGCAAGTGCTTTGTTGTGTAGCCACCGCAGCAAAAACCTCTATGGAGAGGTCATGCTACGGAATGCCCGGGTATATGATATGAAAACTATGAGCTTCTTTTAAAAATGCTAACAATGATTTATCACTAAAGAGGGGTTCCTTACCGACGAACATTGCAGGGTGTAAAGGTATATGTTGTCGGTAGGGTAATGGAAAATGTTGTTTTCTTAGAGTTTCTAACTGTTTGCACTGGATTCACATGTGAAGTACTGTTAATGCTTCACCACATTTGCCACACAATGGTGGATCGCCACCAGACAAAAGATATGTGTGTGTCGTGTATGTGTGTCCTATCCTAAGCCTCGTTAGAGTTACCTCTGTATGACGCAATTTTGGTACTGGCAGCCAATGGCCAAGGTGTGGCTTAATAATGTGTAGTTTGTTTTGTGTGTGTCTATCCCACTTGCTCTGCCAGTAGTCCCTGAGGTTCTGTTTGAGAGACCGCTTAAGATCAAAGGCCGGGATTGATATGGGTGTAGTGGTAGTGCTTTCGTGGACGGATGCAGCAAGCTGATCCGCCCTCACGTTGCCTTGGATATCACTGTGCCCTGGCACCCAGCACACCACAACATGTTGTTTGAGTGAGTAGAGTGTGCAAAAGATTGAGTAAAGTGAGACGAGGACAGGGCTTTTTTGTATTTCAAGAGTGTGCAGAGCCGTTACCACACTAAGGGAGTCCGTATAAATTACTGCTTTTTGTATTTGTAATTGCTTGATGTGTTTAGCCGCCACAAGTATCGCATAAGCTTCCGTTGTGAAGATACTTGTGCCTGGATGTAGATGGTAAGCATCCGAAAAGGATGAGCCGATAGCGGCGTACGACACAGAGGAGTTAGACTTGGAGGCATCTGTAAAGAACTCAAGACGTGTGTATTTGTGTTAAAGTTCCAGGAAGTATGTTCGGATATGGGCAATACGCGCATGTTTTGTAACTTCTAGAAAAGACACATCGCAGTCTATAGTCTGCCACTGTCATGGTGGCGGGTATGTTTCAAGAGCCATTAAACTGTGTTCAAGTGACACTCCAGTTTCCTCAGCTAGACTCTTCAGGCGAACTCAGAAGGGTTGCCTCATCTAAGGCCTGTTTTGAAACAGAATGGAGCTCGACAAATCATTAGTAGTAGGGTATGAGGGGTGCTTCTTTTCTGCTTTCTCCTTAAGGAAATAAACAAAGGACATGTAAGTTCTCTGAAGATGAAGCGACCACTCATTTGACTCAACGTAAAGGCTTTCTACGGGGCTGGTGCGAAAAGCACCCGTAGAAAGGCGGATGCCCAAATGGTGCACAGGGTCCAGCATTTTCAAAACGCTTTGAGTCGCAGACTGATAAACAACGGCCCCATAATCTAAACGGGTGCGAATGAGGCTTTTATACAGATTCATGAGACATAGCCTGTCACTACCCCACGTAGTACGTGACAACACTTTAAAACATTCATGGCTTTTAAACATTTTGTGTTTAAACACTTGATGTGCGGTACGAAGGCCAACTTGTTGTCCAAGATTAAACCTAAGAATTTATGCTCCGCATTAACAGACAGACGTTGACCGTTCAGTTCAGTGTCGGGTTCTGAGTGCATGCCTCTTTTTCGGAAAACAAGACACACGTGCTTTTCTGTGGGTTCAGTCAGAATTCGTTTTCCTCTGCCCATTTGGAGACCTTGTTTAAACCTAACTGAACCTGCCGCTCACACATTGCCAGATTGCAAGATCTAAAACGAAGCTGGACATCATCGACATGTATACAATAAAAAATATTGGGAGGGATTGACAAGCGCAAGGAGTTCATTTTGATGAGAAAAAGTGTGCAGCTAAATACACCACTTTGCGGCACGCCTGTTTCCTGGACAAATGTTTGGGAAAGAACTCTGCCTACTCGGACACGGAATGTCCGGTTTGACAGGTAACTTTCGATTATGTGAAACATTCTTCCGCGCACGCCAAGGTGGGACAGGTCTCTTAGAATTCCGAAACGCCATGTTGTATCATAAGCTTTTTCGATATCGAGGAACACAGAGAAAAAATGTTGTTTATGGACGAAAGAGTCTCTGATCTGTGCCTCAATACAAGGAAGGTGGCCTGTGGTGGATCTACTCTCTCGAAACCCGCACTGAAATGGGTCGAACAAATTTTTTGTTTCAAGGAAATGTTCAAGTCGGCAGTTTATCATTTTTTTCGAAGACTTTGCACAAGCAGTTTGTAAGTGCAATAGGCCTATAACTCAAAGCTAAAGAAAGGTTTTCGCCCTATTTCAAAATAGGAATAATAATAGCCTCTTTCCAGGAGGTAGCGATAGTGCCAGAAAACCAGATAGCATTGTACAAGCAAAGTAAGGTCTTCGTGTTTTGATTGGTAGGTTTTTACCATTTCATACACCACACGGTCAGAATCTGGGGCGGAAGTACTGCAGGAGTTTAGAGATGTTCGGAGCTCAGCTAGACTGAAAGCTTGGTTATATGCCTCGTATCTAGTGCATTTGTGTGCGAGTTTCTGCTTTTCTATTCTTGTTTTGTATTTTTGGAAAGTGTCAGTATAGTGGGACGAGCTGGACACACGTTTGAAGTGTGCACCGAGGAAGTTTACCTGATCTTCCAAGGTATCACCCTGAGTTTTTACGAGTGAAAGTGTGTGTACTTGTTTTCCTGCTATCCTACCGACCGTGTTCCAGACTTTAGCCTCCTGTGTGTATGAATTGATTCCTGACAGAAACTTCTGCCAGCTTTTCTCCTGGCCTGCCGACGTGTTCTCCTGCCTTGAGACTTTATTTTAAAGAAGGTGTCAAGATTTTCGGCTGTCGGTGAGTTCCTAAGCAACCTCCATGCTCTGTTTTGCTGTTTGCGCGCGTTTCGGCATTCAAAGTTCCACCATGGCACACGCCGTTTTACAGGGTGTCCATTTGTTTGTGGAATGCATTTTGTTGCAGCATCAATCAAAAACGCATTGAAGTAGTTGACAGCAACATCAATGTTCAAAGTACATATGTTGCTCCAACCTAGACGAGCGATGGTATAAAACTGTTCCCAGTCGGCTCTGTTTGAGAGCCGTTTGGGAACACGTGGTGGACACTCAGTTGCTGTAGTTGTGCTCAAAACTATGGGAAAATGGTCACTTTCATACAGATTACTGACGACGTTCCACTGGAATAGAGGCACAAGAGATGGAGATACTATGCTTAGGTCTATGGAGGAGTAGGTGTTGTTAGTGAGATTATAATTGGTTGGTTCTTTTCGATTTAGGAGACGCGCGCTCGACGAGAGAGGAACTGTTTAATCAGTCGACCTCGCGCGTCGCACCGAGAATCACCCCATAGCCTGCTATGTGCATTAAAGTCTCTAAGGAGAATATAAGGCTCCGGAAGTGCATCATTTAAAGAGTGTAGATCACGTTTTTGCAGCTCATAGCTAGGAGGACTGTAAATAGTGGAGATTGTGATCAGTTTATCAAAAAGAACCGCTCGAACAGCCACTGCCTCAAGGGATGTTCACAGTTGTAAGTGTGTGAATGCTATTCCTTGATTCACTTTGATGGCAACACCTCCGGATGATGTCATGGCATCATCACGGTCCTTTCGGAAAATAACGTATTTACGAAGAAAATTTGTGCGTTTTGAATTAAGGGGTGTTTGTTGTACACACAGCACTTTTTGTGAGTGTTCGTGTAATAGTTCTTGCTTGTCGTCAAGGTTTCTGAGAAGGCCCCTCACGTTCCATTATATAATTTGAGTGTTCATGATGAATGTAAAATAGTGTCGTGTGTACGAAAAGCGAGTGGCTGTTTAGACAGGGAGTTTGAGTTCATGCAACAAGGCCGTAACCAGGCCCTCTTATTTGCTTTTTTGTTTTCTTGACGCGCTCTAAGGAGCCACGCCGCTCTTTCGGCACCAAGGGTACCGACGTATCCATTGCCTCCTCGGAAGCACTGGATGCCCGCACGTGCGAGCTGGTTGTTCGAATTCTGGGCCTTGCCTGGTGAGGTGAGCCCTTGAGACCGGAGGACCCTGGGGTCTCCGGTCTCTGTTCGGGAGTTGGCGGTGTAGTCTGGACTACAGCCGCCTTGGGGGCAGGTGCCACAACCACCGACTCGCTATGCACGAGCCGAAACAGTGACCGGGGCTGGTGTGGCAGTGCCCCCTGACGCGCCGCATCAGCATACGTTGGGCCATAAAATGGCGAGATTCTTTTCCTAGCTTCCTTAAAAGAAATGTTTTCTTTCACTTTCACCGTTATTATCTCCTTTTCTTTCTTTCAGTATGGACAGGAACGTGAATATGCAGCATGGTTTCCGTCGCAGTTTACACATTGCAGCTGCTCTTTGCAGTTCTCAGACACGCGGCCCAGAGCTCCACATTGTGCACAGATCTGGCGACCACGACAGCTTTTAGAGCCATGGCTGTACCTCTGACATTGGAAGCAACGACGAGGGTTTGGTATGTACGGCCTGATTGAAGTTTTCGTGTACCCTGTTTGAATGGTTTCTGGCAATTTACAGGAAGCAAAGGTGAGTATCAGGTGTTTCGTTGGTGTTTCCTTTTTGTCTCTTCTGATGATAATTCGCTGTACATTAGTCACATTTTGGCTCTTCCACCCCTCCAAAAGTTCAGTCTCGGTCAAGTGAAGTAAGTCCATGTCAGATACCACTCCGCGAGTTGTGTTCATTGATCTATGTGGTGTTATGGTTATTCGTATGCCACCAAAATATGAGAGACGGTCTAGCTTTTCGAATTGTTCTTTGTCACGGATTTCGAGGAGACGGTCTCCGCAAGCCATTTTGGTTTTCTTATATCCTGTGCCAAGAGTTTCGGTAAGACATCTAGCAACTACCAAAGGAGAGACGGTCCTAGCTTGCTTTCCAGTTTTTTCACAGTGGATAACATGAAAGTGAGGAAATGTTTCTATTGGCCTGTTAAAAAGTTTGTCATCTGTGCGTCCCCGCTGCAAGCCGGTACGACCGCTAAGTGAGGGGAATGCTTTATGCATGCCAGTTTTGTTTTTATTCAGCAGTGTTGGCGACCACCCACCACGGAGCCCAACGAGGGGACGCTACAAGTTCGTAAGTACTAAATACTTCAATTCAATTCAATTTTATTTACCAGTTTATACATACTGGATGATTGCGTTGGGTTAAAAGCTACATAAGTAGCTTGACGACACCTCGGCAACGCTATTAGTAGCTTGACGAGACCCGTACAACGCTATTAGTGCCGTTGTACGGCTTGCTGACGCCAGCCGTACAACGCTACTAATACCCAATGCGCCTAGACCAAGGTAGGCTATTTGCACAGGGTTAACCCTCGCCGCCAGGAAAATTGGAAGTAAAAGGAAGAAACAAGAATACAGGAAAGGTAAAAAGTGATGGCAAAGACAAAGATGTAGAGAAAAAGGGAGGGATAGGAAAAGGCGACTGCCGATTTCTCCTGGGTGGGTGAATCCAGGGGCGCCGTCTACGTGAAGCCGGGGCCAAAGGTGTGTGTTGCCTCTGCCGGGGGGCCGTAAAGGTCCAATGACCCAGCGTCGGCTCAGCCCCCAGGATCTCCTTTTCCCCGTACACGGCAAAGATACGCACGGCTAGGCGTGGGAGAGAGTCAAAACTCCCCCGTTAGCTCGGGTCCATGGTGTCGCTACACACCAAACGCCTACTTGCGCAGGCGCCCCTGTGAGGCTGACGACATTACCACGCTCTAACCAGACTGCCTCTCTTCGTGATGGAGGGATGCCAGGCGTGATCGAAAGCGCATGCGTAAAAGCAACCCAGGCGCGGCCGTGGGCCGGCAGATGGTCGCCTAGTGTGGCATCGCCAGCGTGACGCGACGAGACGATCGCCGATGAGCCCGCGAACCGTGTCATGTCGAAAATGTATTGGCGGCTCGACTGTGGCATGTAGTCATGTTCTCACATGACACGCATCTCATGTTTGGTTTATTTGTACCAGTCACATAACTTCGTCATTCATTGGCGTCACGTAATACCAAATTTGGCAAATGTGAAGCTAGTGAATTGGCCGAAAGCGCATCATATGTGTGGTATGTAGTCATGTTGTTACATGACACGCATGTCGTGATTCTCGTGTTTGGATTTTTCATTTACCTATGTCGTTCGTTCGCGTCGCGTAATACCAAGCTTGGTACAAGTGAAGCAAGCGAAATGGCCGTGAGAACATCTTAAAAGTAGCATGCAGTCATGTTGTTACATGACCCGCATTTCATGTTTATCGTGTTTGCACCATTATCATACCTTTGTCATCCATTCACGTCCCATAAAACCGAATTTGCCGAATTGAAGTGGAGTTAAACCGAATTTTATGTGGAGCTAGCGAAACGGCCGCCAGCTCATCATGAGCGTGGCATGTAGTCATGTCGTTACATGACACGCATATCATGGCTATCACATTTGCATTAAATACATATCTTCGTCATTCATTCACGTACTGTAATGCCAAATTTGGTATATGTGACGCTAGCGAAACAGCCGTGAGCGCATTAGTCATGTTGTTACATCACACGCATGTCATGATCTTCATGTTAAGGTCTATCGCTTGTGTTCGCCATGCAATTATGCCATACCATACCAGTTTTGCAACATGCTATGTGAACGATACCACCGCAAGAGCTGCAGGACCATGAAACGTAAATGATGATATTCATGGCATACATATCCTGATTTTCATGTTATATCTAGTCAAATATGTTCTTCATATAGTCATGTAATGCCATACCAAGTTTGGTACCGATAACAGTATCGAAAGGTCCAGGAGAGCTGAAATTCGTAGGCGGATAGATAGATAGATAGATAGATAGATAGATAGATAGATAGATAGATAGATAGATAGATAGATATGCTCAAAATAGCCGAATATTGTTAAGAAATGCTTACTTAAAATGTTTCTATTTGTGTGTTTTCAATACATACTGAATTTACATAAAAACAAGTGTTTCGTTTTGCAAATGTAGACAGAATACGTTTAGTAAACATGCAAAGCGTTTACTTGCTGCAATGGGTGCATGTTAGAAATTTATAGTTATTCACTTCGAGTGCGCACTGCGATAGCAAAATACTTCAAAAGTATATCTCCATCATATAGCACCGATAGTTTTAGCTCATTATCACTTTATCGTTACATAATTTAATCCTATAGAGTCGGCAAGCAATCGTTGCCTCTTTTGCAACAATACTAGTAATTGTTGTCATCACTGTAGTGCTGTTTCAGAAAACATAAATTTTTAGGTCGAGTTATCTTTAACATGCAAGAAAATGCACATTTCACTGACCTATGACACGTTCACAAAGGTTTAAAGATGCCTGTAGCAAAATTACTGCACATAGAGTAATCTTCATCATCCTGGCTTTTAGGAATAGATATGGATCTGCAAAATAAAAAAGAGGCATGATTGAAACAAAACTTTACCCTATTTTCACAGCTTTTGACGGAACATTTTGAAATTCTGTCAGTGCAAAGTCTCGAGAAGCGTCTTTAGCAGGAAAAAAGCATGATTACTGAGTCCTTTCTGTTGAGATCTGAATGGTTCTTAGTTTTCCTGGCGATGTCTTTAAACTCATAATGTTACTATATCTTGCTTATAGATAAATCATCAGACAATACATATTCTCTAACGCAAAACTGCATTTGAAAGCCTCCGAGGTAATGTTTTAAATGAGCAAGCCAATTTGAATTGTGAATAAAAAAATCACACAAATGTGATGTCCTGCATACAATTTTTAATACAAGAGTGGGTCTGATCACCACTCTGATCATCACACACTAGCAGTCTCTTGCCAATGATTGCACAACGGAATAGCTTACTCACACCGTTCAAAGGTTATGTTGCTTCCTATATATCTCAAGAGTCGACACAGCAGTTATGACACGCTAATCAGTTCGCCGACAATCTTGAGCGTGTTGCAGACATTTCATTTCTAGCGCCTCTCAATAAGCAGAGATGTAAAAAGAAATAGGCATTTTCCCTGCACTATGCGCATAGGCAAAAATGCCAGCCGTCCTCAGGTCAATAAATAGGATTCCAAGAGAAAGAAAACGCACGGGAGAGAGACGAATCAGGTGGACCGATAAGTCTGGGAAGTTCGCAGGTATGTCGGGCCAGCAGAAAGCACAGGAAAGGGTTAATTGGCAGTACATGTGTGCGAAGAATGTACAGTGTGGTGCTAGAGGCCTAGTGAGATGACTAACAACGTCGCCTTTCGTCTCTTGCACCACGGTAATCACGTATTGTCAAACAAATAATTAAAAAACATGAGCGGGGTCATTGCTCTGCAGTGGGTATAGTCAGACTGATAGATATATTGTTGCTGCTGATGATGATGACGATGATGATGATCATCCCCTGCAGTGGCGTCTGCGCAAGCAGGCGTTTGGTGTGTAGCGACACCACGTACCCGAGCAAACGGAGGGTCCTGGGCTCTCCCACGCCTAGCTGTGCGTGGCTGAGCTGTGTCCAGGGAAAGGGGATCGTGGTAGTTGAGCTGACGCCGGGTGATAAGACCTTGAAGGCCCCCTGGCACAGGCAACGCACCCCTTCGGCCCTGGCTCCAGGTAAATGGCACCCCCTGGGCTGACCCGCCGAGGGGAAATCGGTAGTCACCTTTTCCTATATCTCTCTCCCTACATCTTCGTCTATTTCTCTTCTTTCAATCTATCCTGTCTTCTTTTTTCTATTTACTTCAATGTTTCCTGGCAGCGAAAGTTAATCTCGTGTAGGTAACCAACACCAGGTATTCTATATCCGTTTAAATTGACAGTGTAAAGCTGGCGATGTGCCGATTTTGTTGTCTTGCCGCGTACCCTTGTTGGGCTCTCTGGTGAGTGGTTGGCGCTGTCGCCGAACACAAGCAGTGCTTTATGGCTAAGCAAGCTTCCTTTTTCCTTGATCGCCCTCAAAAAAGAGGGCGCACCGAAGCACCCTTCCAATTCTTCCTGCAAAGCACTGATAATTTCCCAAAATATCATGCAATACATTCTGAGGGCAACCTAACTGCTCGTAAATTGTCTCTTTTCCTGGTAGCGAAATGCCTTGGAAACATCATTGGACCAGGCTACAAGGCCACGAAAATGAGAAGTGATTTGCTACTCGTACTTGAGGACAAAGGCCTATTTGAGAAATTCAATAACTTGAAATGTATTGGTGACGTACCAGTAAACGTGTCTGCACATAGAACAAGGAACATGAGCCATGGTGTAATACCACAAGATGACTTCTTGCACGTCAGTGGTGAGGAACTTCGATCTAGATGGCTTCCAGACTCCACATGTTATGAAGGTTCAAAGAATGCTGATTCGCCGAAAGAATAAGCAGATCCACACTAATGACATGTTACTAACATTGGACAGGTGTGTGCTCCCTACCACACTAGATGCAGGCTACAACAAACTTCGCGGGAGGCCGTACATGCCAAACCCTCGGCGACGCTTTAAGTGCCAGCGGTACGTGCACTGATCCCAGACATGCCGGGGAAAGCAGATATGTGCCAAATGCAGCTCCAATAAACAAAAGTCAGACGAATGCGAATCATCTCCACATTGTGTGAACTGTGACGGAAGTCATTCAGCCTAGTCTAGAACGTGTCTTAAATGGAAGATCGAAAAAGAGATCATCACACTAAAAGTAAAAGAAAACAGAACAATTCGTGAAGCAAGAAACTGTGTGTCATACCTTCATCACACTAGTTATGCCGAGGTGGTGCAATGCGGGGCAGTGCCACAAGTGTCTCGGCAGTCTACTGCGGTCACCAATACTGGCCCAGTAGTTACTTCGTCCACCCCTCGGGTGGCTGCTGCTATTGCAGTGTCACCAGCATCAAAGATGAGTTTACAGGCTTCGACATTGACAGGCCCCGAAAATGAATCAAATTTCAATGTTCGAGACGCAAGTCTCTGCGCCCAGTCCTGGACCTTCCTGTGCCTTGGAGAAGGCAATGTATATTGATGGACAAACACCAGCGTCATTGACGCCTTAAGATCAGCGCTCTTTGGAGTGTCATAAGAAACACAGAAACATACTGTAACCGCTCCGCCAAAGGGTCAGTAACCTGAAGAGTTACCTTTCTTTAACACATCTCTAGCACGTTCATCTGAACACACGACACATACATTTTTTATCAATAATCATCATCATCATAATCATCATCATCATCAGCCTGACTACTTCCAGTGCAGGACAAAGGCCTCTCCCATGTTCCGCCAGTTAACCCAGTCCTGTGCTTGCTGCTGCCAATTTATACCCGCAAACTTCTTAATCTCGTCTGCCCACCTAACCTTCTGTCTCCCCCTAACCCGCTTCCCTTCTCTGGGAATCCAGTTAGTTACCCTTAAAGAGCAGCGGTTATCCTGTCTACGTGCTACATGCCTGGCCCATGTCCATTTCCTCTTCTTTGTTTCAACTATGATATCTTTAACCACCGTTTGTCACCTAATCCACTCTGCTCTCTTCTTGTCTCTTAAGGTTACACCTACCATTTTTCTTTCCATTGCTCGCTGCGTCGTCCTCAATTTAAGCTGAACCCTCTTGGTAAGTATCCAGGTTTCTGCTCCGTAGCTAAGTACCGGCAAGATACAGCTGTTATATACCTTCCTCTTGAGGGATAGTGGCAATCTACCTGTCATAATTTGAGAGTGCTTGACGAATGTACTCCACCCCTTCCTTATTCTTCTAGTTACTTCAATCTCGTGGTTAGGCTCTGCGGTTATTACCTGCCCTAAGTAGACATAGTCTTTTACAACTTCAAGTGCACTATTACCTATCTCGAAGCGCTGCTCCTTTCCGAGGTTGTTGTACATTACTTTCGTTTTCTGCAGATTACTTTTAAGACACACCTTTCTGCTCTCCTTGTCTAACTCCGTAATCATGAGTTGCAATTCGTCCCCTGAGTTACTCAGCAATGCAATGTCATCGGCGAAGCGCAGGTTACTAAGGTGTTCACCATTAACTCTTATTCCTAACTGTTTCCATTCTAGGCTTCTGAAAACCTCCTGTAAGCAGGCGGTAAATAGCATTGGGGAGATTGTGTCCCCCTGCCTTACACCCTTCTTGATTGGTATTCTGTTGCTTTCTTTATGAAGTACTATGGTAGCAGTTGATCCCCTGTAGATTTCTTCCAGAATGTTTATATATACTTCATCTACGCCCTGATTCCGCAGTGTCTGCATGACGGCTGATATTTCTACTGAATCAAACGCCTTCTCGTAATCTATGAAGGCTATGTATAGTGGTAGGTTATACTCTGAGCATTTCTCTATTACCTGATTGATAGTATGAATGTGGTCAATTGTTGAGTAGCCTGTTGGAAATTCTGCTTGTTCCTTTGGTTGATTGAATTCTAATGTTTTCTTTACTCTGTTAGCAATTACCTTTGTAAATAGCTTGTATACTACAGAGAGCAAGCTGATCGGCCTGTAATTCTTCAAGTCCTTGTCATCTTCTTTCTTATGTATTAAGATGATGTTAGCGTTCTTCCAAGACTCTGATACTCTTCCCGTCAGAAGACACTTCGTAAACAGGGTGGCTAGTTTTTCTAACACAATCTGTCCTTCATCTTTCAGCAGATCTGATGTTACCTGATCCTCACCAGCAGCTTTGCCTCTTTGCATGCTCTCCAAAGCTTTTCTGACTTCTTCTATCATTACTGGCGGGGTGTCATTTGGGTTACTGCTAGTTCTTATAGTATTAAGGTCGTGGTTGTGTCGGCTACTGTACAGATCTCTGTAAAACTCCTCCGCTATTTTAACTATCCTATCCATATTGGTAGTTATTTTGCCTTCTTTGTCCCTTAGTGCATACATCCGACTTTTGCCTATCCCAAGTTTCTTCTTCACTGCTTTGACGCTTCCTCCGTTTTTCAGAGCGTGTTCAATTCTCTCCATGTTATACCTTCTTACATCGCATACTTTACGCCTATTATTCAACTTTGAAAGCTCTGCCAGTTCTATTTTGTCTGTTGTACTTGACACTTTCATGCTTTGGCGCTTCTTAATTAGGTTCTTCGTTTCTTGGAAAAGCTTGCCAGTGTCCTGTCTAACTACCCTGCCTTCAACTTCTACTGCACACCCCGTAATGATACTCGTTAGATTATCATTCATTGTATCTACGCTAAGGTTGGTTTCCTCACTAAGAGCCGAGTACCTGTTCTGCAGCGACACTCTGAATTCCTGTACTTTCCCTCTCAGTGCTAGCTCATTGATTGGCTTCTTGCGTATCAGTTTCTGTCGTTCCTTCTTCAAGTCTAGGCGAATTCGAGACCGTACCATTCTATGGTCACTGCATCGTACCTTGCCAACGACTTCCACATCCAGCACGATTCCTGGGTGTGCAGTCATTATAAAGTCTATTTCGTTCTTATTTTCGCCATTAGGGCT